GACATGATGTCTTTCTCTACCTCATATGGGTCAATTCCGACAGCAGCAATTTTCTGCATATATCTTTCTCGTGCACATTGGTCAATAGTCAATATACTTTGTTGTGGTCTGTCTGAAAGCCATCATGATCGTCGTCTAGCGCTTGCCTACAAAAATGGTGGAAAAGTGGTATTGCGTAACACGGTTGAGTGTGTGGGAACGATATATGGCTGTTTGTCTCGTTTGTCTCCCTGTGATGGACTTGCAACCTGTCCAGGGTTTCCCCGGACTCTCGCACAGTGACTGTTGGATATGGGCACCAGTGAACACCTCGTGACCCAGAAAGGAAGACGTGGGTAAAGATAATGGATGGATGGATTTATAGGAGCCAAGACTCATGAAACTGATCAGTCTACTTTGGGCTGCAAACTTTCAAAGAGCAAGTAATAACAGGCGACAACAACATTTATTAGCTTCTACTTTTATGATGTCTATGCAGTTTTTCATAGAGTGGTTGCTGGAAAATCATTTAGTTTGCTCAGCCTATCAACATACACTTGTAAATGCACCATATGTCACTAAAGAATCCCTGTCGAGATAAGAAAACACCTTCTCTGAAATGAGCTAAAAATAAATTGACCATGTTTATAAGGGCTACAAATAGCCACAATATAGCCAGTGTGAAAACAAGAGTGAAACCATTTTAAAAAGTTTGGTGTAAGTGTTCCTTTCATTCAGACCAAAAGCAGCTACTCCAGTAATTTGTGCTACTGGTGGTCTGTGGGTTAGTCTGTAGAATGGGCTTGTTTTCTGCAGTTACTATTAGAATACACCTGAATAGTACCTTTGAAGTTTGAAAGACTGGTTAACTCTTCAAACTGATATGTTTTTGCGCAATTTCTATGGAGTTTTTGGAAGGCCCATTGCTATTCTCAGTCGCAGACACAGAGCTGAGTAGAAGAGTAAGTGTAAAGTGGGGACATTTTATACTCCAAGAGAGAAACCGAATTGCTGATCTCTAGGAAGCCACTCCCCACACAGGGCTCCATTGTGTGACACCTACCGAAACACGGCAACCACATGGCATGGAGTCAGTTTTGGTTATTCCAACACTGTGACAATTAGAGAGATGGGGATATTTCAGTTGATGTGGGAAAAGAATATCTTATTTCTGGATGTCAGCCATCGTTTTTATGTCATCAAGTCCCGCCGTTCATTTAACAGCACCCACACACAGCATCCCAACCTCTGCCCAAGAGAGTTTAGGGGTCACACTGTGAATGTTGCATCCCTTAAGCTAATGTTAGCTCCCAGCAGCTAATACACCCAGCATAGCCATGGCCACAATGGTCCCTGAGCAGCTCACTGAATAGCCTGGCCACATAAACTACGTTCACTTCAGGTTTCTAGGCCAATCACACAATGTTTGACGCAATTCCTCATGATAAAAAAAAGTTCTGCCCAGTCCTTGTATCAAAAATTCCTCAGTTCCTAGAACAAAAAGGTGTAATTTTTTTTTCAGCTGCGTCAGAGTGAAAGAATTTCTCCACATCTCACAGAGTATAAATCCAGCTTTGTTCTAACCTCCAGAACCTCTGTCCCTGCTGGTCCCGTGGTGTCGGCTTCATGCATATATGCAAGACTTGGCTGACTCGACTGATTCTTGTATGAATAACTCCAGGCAGTTTAAGGAGGGGCTTGTCTTTGCAGCTATTTTGCAGAACCAGCCTTCAGTAACCACTGTAATATCTCGAGGAACGTATTCATAAAATAGAATCTTAAAAAATAAAATAGTTTTATGAAAATTACAAGAACCTGTACCGTTAATATAAAAGATACAGGCAGCTGTGAGTATTTAAGTTTTTCTTTGTATTGTTACAGTTACCCTCTAGGGAACAATAGTCTGTTTCTTTTTTATGTTGGGTAATTGAGACTCATTTGTCATAAAATCTTTGTACCTAAAATTTTAATTGATAAATACATTTACCTGAAAAGAGAGCAGGCCCAGTTGTCACATTGAATCCAGAGTTTCTGTTCATAATATTTTTATTTATTTTAGTCATTTACTCATCTCTTGTGTTTTGTCAACATAGGATTCATTCATCTCATGCCAGTGATTTTCGTGTTTTGCTCCATTTTCTTTACACATTATACATTACTGCTGACCATTTAAACTATTAACCATTTTAGTGCTGTCAGATATTAAAGCAATAGTTTTAATCTTTTGAAGGGGACTCTGTGGAAAGGTCATCAAAGACCAATATCTTACCTGCAGTAGATAGCTGTTTGAATGACCTCAGTTCTGATCAGATTGACGAGCTAACGGCTAGTCTGTACATGATTAAGACCAATGGAAATTGCTTCTGTCTCTATTTTATAAACCTTTACATTGCTGTGAGCTTTGTATTCCTGCATTCTTTACATTATGAGTGCAAAATGTGGCACCAGCAGCTAGTTTTAGCACTTTCAGTGTACAGTAGTCCCTCAATTATCGCGGGGGTTACGTTCCAGACCACCCTGGTATAGGTCAAAATCCGCGAAGTAGGGACGTTATATTTATTTTAGTATTTATATATATATTTTTTAAGGCTTTATAAACCTTTCCCACACTCTTGCAATGTTCTTAACAATGTTCTGAACTCTAAACCCTCTAAAAGAGCACAACGAACGAGAACAGACAGACTGATGATGCACTTACTGAGCCAATTAACGCCTGGGAGTGGACTGGCCATTGGAGCACTGGGACATTTCCCAGTGGCTTGGCCCATTCATTGATTGCTGAGGGGGACTAAAGGCTCATTTCGGGTAGCACTTGATTCTTTTAAATAAACAATCCATGTCACTCACTCTGGTATCCACCTCACTGAAGCTCCCACAGCAGCAGTGGGGAAAGACAGACCCCACTCTGCCCCCTCCTTTCTCTTTCTGAAGTCGTCTATCACCGCAGAACAGAGGCACACAACAGGCGGGCGCATTTTTGCTCTGCTGTGAGACAGCCTCAGAAAGAGAAAGAAGGGAGTGGGGTCTGTCTTTCCCCATCGCTACTGTTCAGTCTGTGGGAGATGATACCTTGGTGAGTGGCATGGATTGTTTATTTAAAATAATCAAGCGCGACTCGAGCCTTTAGCCCCCCTCGGTGATCACTGAGCGGGCCAGGCCACTGGGAAATGTCCCGGTGCTCCCAATGGCCAGTCCGCCTTTCAGCACAATGCTCTGGTTGATTGCTTTCCATCAATCAGCCAGTTGTGTGTCGTGTACAATCTTACATTGAAAACCCGCGAACGAGTGAATCCACGAAAGTCAAACCGCGAAGTATTGAGGGACTACTGTAACTGCTTAGACTAGCCATAGGCTCATAGTTCATCAATCTGGTCAGTGTTTTAAGTTTTTCTCCAAATTCAGGTCTATACAAAAAGCTATATAGAACAGGTAAGATCATATTTGTTAACCGCTCCATAAAGCCTTGCTTGAGAAGAACTAAACTATCTCTTTAACAGCAGCCTTGTAAGCATGAGAGCTCAGAGGGGGCTGTAAAACACAACTTTTCCAATTCAATTAATGCATTTAACAACTTCCATGTTTGTTTCTCGTGTTTGTTTTTTTCAGGTGGAAATTTCTGACAGCACAACAGTGAAAGCAGGGCTGTTAGACAACAGTTGCGTATTCATGGATATTAGCCTCCTTTTGTCTTCTATTGTTTTTGTTTTTTGTCCTCTGTAGTCTGTTTTTAGCTGTAGTTAGAGAGTGCAACTTCATGTTTAAAAAATGGTCAGCAGAAATGTAATGTTTACATTATTATTATTATTATTAGTGAGCTGAATCTTAAAAAGGACGTTTGTGTGTTTTCACTCACATCTTGTGGATATCAGTAGTAACGGTCATGAGCATTAGCGTGATACCTGTCAGTGTTTTCTATTAGCGTGGCACATTTTTTTAAATATTCAACTGAAACAAATCAACACGGTGCTCTCCTTTTACTGCTGCTAGTACTGCACTGTAATACCTGTTAATATTATGTTACAATAAACTCTAGACTTCAGTTTTAATCTTTGAAAATACTGTAGTTGTAATGTTCTCTGACCCACATTATTTGTCCGCCTTATATTTTTAGACAAAACCTGTGCATGATAATGTTCTCAAGCTAAGCCCATGTCAAGAAGTACTGTTTGACTCTTACAGATCATGAATAATTATTCATTTTTTAACTAAATGTACATAGTTATGGTTCAAGACACTATATTGTATTGAAATCTTATTTTCTTTTTCTAAACCAGTTATACATATGGTCAAAGTGCAACATTCATTGCCCTGAGATGACTTCTGTTGTGACTTGGCGCTATATAAATAAACTGAACTGAAATTGAATTGAACATTTTATCATAATTACCTGTTATTTAACTTTGTGCTTCACTGAAGCTGAAAAAAAGTCCCATCTGAGAATTGGAATCTGAGAAAATATTTAAATGCTTACTTTTTTTTCTAGTTCATTTACTTTGTTTCTGTTTATTCAATACAGAGGAACACTGTTTTTTTTAATCTAAGCAGCCTAAGTCCAAGACATTTTAACATGAAGTTAACCACAAGCAGAAAATAGAAATTCAAAAATCTTGGAAGTGAAAACGATGTGCTATGTTTTTGTTTTTAACTTTCTTCTGTAAGTAATACTTGATTGTTGTAATAAATCTTTAATTTAAAAAAATATCTTGGTCTTGCTTTTTATTTTTTGTGCTTTTATTTTGAAAGTATGATATATAGAGCTATGGTAGTAGCTTTTAGACCTTTACATCCTCACATCAGTTTAAGTCTTTTGCACATAATCTGGATTAAACAGTTGGGATCTTTTGATTATAATCAAACCCAAAGTGTTTCATGTCTGCAGCAAATGGGTTAATGGCACCTGGTCAAATCTTACTGAGTTTTGCTTAATCTTTTTTATTATTTTGTCCTTAAATACTGAAAGAAAAAAAAAATTACTAGTCATAAACTTCAGGTGCCTTTTGCTTCTCTTTTACTTCTAAAAGAATCGCTAAGAAAATGCTGTTGGCCCAAATTAAAGCCAACTACTCCTCGGATGGTGACATTTCTTCGGATGATGAAACACAAGAGGGTGATTCTGAGTCAGAAGATGACGAGGACAAACGAGGCAATGAAGATAATGGAACAAATGAAAATGGTAAGTAATTTCATCTTTGTTTTACTTAGGTAGTGCAGCAAATTTTATGGTTTTTAGTAATGGAGAGAGGTGATGGGGTCTATCTCTGCTGCAGGAGAGGAAGTGGCTTCAGAATCATCTGACAGCCAGTCCGACGATCCAAAGCTCAGGCACCATCTTCTCCGGCACAAACTCGCGTTAGACGAGGGAACGAGTGACAAGGCAGGGCTTGAGGACGAAGTAGGACCGCAGGAAAACGAAAGAAAAGAAAAGAGGAAACGATCATTCTGTAAGCTAACTTTAAAAAAATGGGCAAACAGAAGAGAAAACATTACTTCTGCTTTGATGTGGGATCTCATTTTCTGTCAAGCTGATGGTGAAAGTAGCGCTGAGATCTGCCAAGACAGTGAAGATGTGGGAATGAGCGAAGAACTGAGCGAGTCCGAGGATGAGCGTGCTGAAGATGAACTGCAGAGGTAGATTCACTTCAGATAGTACTGATGGGTACCAAGAAATTAAAACTGATCTTTGTAGTAAATAAGGTAATATTTAATTTTTTTTAGTAATTATATTTTCTCCTTTAATTGTTGCTTGAGCTCTTGAGCTTTTGTTGGCATTAGCAGGGTTCCCAGTGACTGGAAATCAGAGAAAACCTGGAAAATTACTTTCACATTTTCCAGACAGAGAAAACTCTGGGAATTTAAACATTAATCTGATGATTAAATTATATTTCTGAAATTATGTTGTGTACATGTATTAATATTAGTATTATCCTTGAGTCGTGTCTTCTACAGTATACAAATGTATCCTTACTGATTGACTATGGTGGCGTTTTATACACCAGTCAAAGATGGACATATTATGGTATAGTGTTTGTCCATACAAACATAAACTTGTTAATAACTTATACCTCTCGATAATTTTACAAAACGTCATACACACATGCATCATCACTAGACAAAGTGTTGCATATACATTTCATTGCTTCAAGCTCAAAGTCACAGATCAATGACAAATGTTATACAAGGTCTTTGCTTGTATGCACCATTGCTAGTTTGTCGACGGGTGCATAACGTGCTGTATGCGGTACTCTTGTTGATGACTGATGTATGCTCGTATTGGCCACTAGGGAGCACAAGCTAGTGTATCTAGTGCCGGTCCCAGGCTCGGGTAAATGGTGAGGGTTGTGTCTGGAAGGACATTCGACGTAAAACACTTTTGCCAAAACTAATATACGAGTTCATCTAAGCGACACCATACTGGACTGGTCGAGGCCTGGTTAACAATGATTGCCACCGGTGCTGTTGACAAACAGGGTGCCGGCGGAAATTGTGCTACTGTTAATTGAAGACCACAATGTGGTCTTCAATTAACTTCCTGTCTTCAGTGTCTGGAGACAGGAAAGTCAAGAATCTAGAACTGAGGGTGGTCAAATGTGAGGACAATGACAGGCAAAGGTAGAGAGCTAGTTGACGTGATGCAGAGAAGGAAGGTAGATGTTTTTGTGTCCAAGGGACCCAGGCGGAAGGGCAGCAAGGCTCGCAGCATTGGAGCAGGGTTTAAACTGTTTTACCATGGTGTTGGATAGAAGGAGAAATTGAGTAAGGGTAGCCCTGAAGGAGGAATTGGCAAAGAATATAGTAGAGGTGAAAATACTGTCAGATAGGGTGATGTGTCTGAAGTAGGGATGACGATAGTATCGGCATGGTATCGGTATCGGCTGATATTGGCGTTAAAGTTCAATAATGGACATCGGCCATTCCATCAAAATAACTCACCGATATAAAATTAGCTGCTTTTGCATGACAACCCAGTGACAAGGATGCCTGCAGCGGCAGCACAATGTGATGACGTCATGCATGCCTACCTGATCTCACGGCGAAGAGGAAATTTCAAAATGTTGGTGATGTGGAAGGGGTTTTTTTTGTTGGTGAGGATGTCGGTTTCCGAAGATTTTTGGACTACGTTGAGCCTCACTACATCATCCCCAGTTGGAGAGCTTTTTCTGAAGTAACCTTACCCAAGTTACAAGCCGTCATTTCTGACGTCATTGAGAAGCTAATAGCCGATAGCACTTGGGGGAGTTTTACCACAGACATTTGGACCCCATTAGCATGATTAGTCTTACGGCACCATGAATAAACAACAACTTTGAACTTAAAAAGGCTGTCTTTCATGCACAAGAGTGCAGAGGATCCCACACTGCAGCTAGGAACCTAGAACAAGCCTCCACAAGTGAGACGGCATCGCAGGTGACTAATGCTAATAAATAACATTCAACACTTTTCATTTAATATAAGTTAAAGTGCTACGCATATCATATGGCTGTTACTGAATATATATCACCAGATCTTAAAGCTGTTACACAATTTTTCTAGCAAATAAGCCTAAATAAGAGGGCGAAGTTCTGATAAAGGAACGTACATGAAATAACGGTATTGTTATTGGCCAAATAAGTTTTAACATAGCAGCATATCGGATATCGGCCAAAAATCCAATATTGTGCATCCCTAGTCTGAAGGTAGAAGTAGAAGGTCTAATGCTAAATGTTGTCATATAGTCCACAGGTTGGATGTGACATAGAGGAGAAAGAAAAGTTTTGGAAGGATCTAGCTCAGAGGTCCCCAAAATTTCTTTCACCAAAGCCTTTTTTTTTTCCAATTACAGGGGCAGGGGTATGAGTGTGAGGGGAGGTCGGTGCATAACAAGGCACACAGTACATACAAGGATTCAAGGTTCTTTATTGTCATTCGCATCGCATGTGGTACATGAGGTGGAATGAAATTGTGTACACAGGGTCCCAGTTACATCCAACAATAGCAAAAAATATAAAGTGTAAAAAGAAACGTAAATAAGGATCTAAGATATCAACTAAGATATATGTTACACAAACGCCCAATGGTATGCTAAAAGATCTAAGATATACGCTAAACACTTAATAGTGTAAAGCAATACACTGAACAACAGCAGCACAATTCTCATAGGTTCGGTTTGGCTATAATTTACACGCTTAATGTGAGCACTAACATAAACTAGGATTTATTCAAAGCATGCAACAAAAATACAGAAACAAGGTGCCAAAAGTGAAAAATAAATAAATCTATAGCAGCATGGTCCTATTGACAGAGTGATTCTGATGACAGTGAGGTTATCTTAGCAACATGGTCCAGTTAGCAATATGATGCTGTTAGCAATGAGGTTCAGTTAGCAGTGAGCTTTTTCTTAGCAATATTGTTGCATTGGCACCATGGTCTTGTTAGCTGTGTTAGCACGTCTTGTTAGCAGGTCCCTTCAGCAGCATGATGATAATAAGGACCGCAGCAGCTGCCTCCCAGACTACCCTCCAGAACTGGATTCGGCAGACAGAGAACATCCAAGGTTCCCCCGCAGAACCAAGCAGGTCCACTGAGTTCAGTCCATTAGCAGGTGTAGTTAGTAGGTCCCATCAGCAGCCTGATGGTAGCAATGACCACAGCAGCTGCCCTCCCAGACTGCCCTCCAGAACCAGGTCCGGCAGACATGGAACATCCAGATTTCCCCATGGATCCGAACAGGCCCATAGAATTCGGTCCGTGCAGGCAGGTGGAGGATCTTGTTAGCAGTGTTTCAGGTCTAATTAGCAGGTCCCGTCAGCATCCCAATGGTAACAATGACTGCAGCAGCTGCCCTCCCAGACTGCTCTCCAGAACCGGGTTCGGCAGACGGATAACATCCAAGGTTTCCTCGCGGAACCAAACGGGTCCGTAGAGTTTGGTCCGTGTAGGCAGATGGAGTATCATGGAGACAGCCGCCATGACAGGCCTGAGCCCAAGGCTGGAAGGACTGAACCACAATGGCACAATTGCACGATAGCAAGGCAGCGACACAGAAAACTCCACAAATGTGTCGCGATCATACCCGTACCGTGGATGCGCATTGTAGGCTAAGAAAAAGTTATAAAAAAAACAACAGGAACAAAAAAAGATCACGTTCACTGGGAGCCAGTGAAGCTGTGGCTCGGCTGAGCGCGGACATCTTTGCAATCGGGAACACAACAGTGGGGAAAGTAAGTATTTGATACACTGCTAATTTTGCAAATTTTCCCACCTACAAAGAATGGCGAGATCTAATTTGTATCATAGCTACATTTCTACTGTTAGACGGAATATAAAAAAAAAAATCCAGAAAATCACATAGTATAGTTTTTAAATAATTAATTTGCATATATGTACTGATGGTGGTAGCCAAAATAGGAACCCGTGCTACCTTTTTAGCTGCGTCATCTCCTTAAAGTTCACAACGAATGTCCTTGGCAGCAGACAGGATCAGCTCTTCGCCAATAGTAAAGGGCTTCTTAGCTTTAACAATGTGTTTAGCCACTAAATATGATGCTTGCAGTGTAGACACATTTAATGAAGTTGTTGCCTTCAATATTTGTGGCGAAGCAGTTTTGATGGATAACCGGTTGCCACACAGAGCATGCTCGGGGTGTGTAATTCACCTGTTGCAATGAACCCAGAATTCAATTAGAACTCTATTCAATTAGAACTCTTATTTTCTCTTAAATGCAGCTTTTTTTCTGATGACAGTTGTGGAGGCTTCTACTGCCTCATCTTTTCCCTTTTTCAAAGAAGTTATCCAGTGACATTTATTTTTTATTCATTTTTGCAAAAGTTTGAGAGCTTACTGGTGCATGAAAAAACTGCAGCGGAGTCGAGCGCTAAAATTGCGTGAACAGAAGTTATTGATTTTCAAAATAAATTCTTGCATGCTAACAGGAATAGAAAGAAATTTTCAAAATAAAACCTTTAATTTTTTTTCTATGCATCCCAGTACCAAATGATCCATGGCTTGGTATTAGGCCGCGTCCTGGTGGTTGGGGACCCCTGATCTAAATGAAGTGATAGAGTATTCCCAGGGAGGAGAGAGTGGCAATCGGAGCAGATCTGAATGGACATGTTGGTGAAGGAAACAGAGGGGATGAGGAAGTGATGGGTAGGTTTGGTGTCAAGGAAAGAAATTAAGAAGGACAAATGGTGGATTTTGTCAAGAAAATGAAAATGGCTGTAGTCGACACATGTTCAAAAGAGGGAGGAACATAGAGTGACCTATAAGAGTGGAGGTAGGAGTACGCAGGTAGACTACATTCTGCGTAAAAGAGGAAACATGAGGGCGATTGGGGACTGTAAGGCTGTGGCAGAAGAGAGCATGGCCAGACAGCATCGGATGGTTGTGTGTAGAATGAATGTTGTGAAGAAGAGAAAAATAATAAAGTCAGAGAAGAAGACGGAATGATGGAAGCTGAGAAAAGAAGAATGTTGTGAGAAATTCAGAGAGAAGCTGTTAAAGGCTCTGGGTAGTAAGAAAGAGCTTCCAAATGACTGGACTACTACAGCAACAGTAATTAGAGAGACAGGTAGGAAGGTACTTGGTGTGTCATCTGGACAGAGAATGGATAAGGAAACCTGGTGGTGGAATAATGAAGTGCAGGAAGCTATTCATCAAAAGAGGTTAGGCAAGAAGAAATAATAATAATAATGTGTTCTGTATTGTCATCATTGTATGTTCCCATAAAATGATGAAATTGGCTCTCTGCATTTAATCCATCCAACACCAGGTGGTGCACTAGGCAGTTAGTGAAAGTGTCCGTGGAGCATTTGGGGATAGGGTGTACTTCTCAGAGACACCACGAGATGTGCAATGACTGGGGATTGAGCCTGGGACTTTCAGTTCTCAAGTTGGCTGCCTTGCCTCTACCCCATCTCGGCCCCCTCTACCCCATCTATGATGACAGTACGAGGACTGAAGAGAGAAGACAGGGATAGAAGGAGATGCAATGTAGAGCAAAGAGGGAAGTAGCTAAAGCAAAGCAGAAGGCATGTGAGTTGTATGGGAGGCTGGATACTAAAGAGGGCGAGAAGGACCTGTACCGATTGGCAAGACAAAGGGATCAGGCTGGAAAGGATGTGCAGCAGGTTGGGAATGGTAATGTTCTAATGCAGAGACTGTGACAGGAAGATGGAAGGAGTACTTTGAGGAGCTAATGAATGAAGAGAATGAAAGGGAAAGAAGAGTAGAGGTCATAGAATATGTGGACCAGGAATTGGGAGAGATTAGTGAGTGAAGGTCAGAAAGCTCTAAAAATACTGAAGAAGGGAAAAGCAGTAGGACATGATGACATACCAGTGGAGGTTTGGAAATGTCTTGGAGATGGCATTGAGATTTTGGACTCAAATATTCAATGGCAAATTTGAGGGTGAAAAAATGCCAGAGGAATAGAGAGGTGTGGTGGTGCCTATTTTTAAGAACAAGGGTGATGTACAGTGTTTAGGAACTACAAGGGAATTAAGTTGATGAGTCGCACAATGAGGTTCTGGGAGAGAATTGCGGAAGCAAGACTTAGACGAGAGGTGACTATTTGTGAGCAGCAGTACAGTTTCATTTTGAGAAAAAGCACCACCACAGATGCTATCTTTGCTTTAAGGATGTTGATGGAGAAGTACAGAGAAGGTCAGAAAGTGTTCCATGGTGTCTTTGTGGATTTAGAAAAAGCATATGACAGGATACCAAGAGAGTGGGTGTGGTATTGCAGGAGGACATTGGTGCAACAGAGAAATGTTAGACTGGTACAGGTCATGTATGAGGACAGCAGGACAGTGGTGAGATGTGCTGTAGGAATGACAGCTAGCCTCAAGGTGGAGGTGGGAGTGCATCAAGGCTGAGCCCCTTCTTGTTTGCTCTGGTGATGGACCAGCTAACAGATGAGGTCAGGCAGGAATCTCCATGGACTGTGATGTTTGCAGATGACATTGTGATCTGTGGTGAGAACAGGGAACAGGTGGAAAAGAACTTGGAGAGGTGGCGTTATGCACTTGAAAGAAGAGGAATGACAGTCAGCCACAGTAAGACAGAGTACAGTAGTCTCTCAATTATCGCGGGGGATCCAAACCCTGAAGACCCGCAATAAGTGAAAAACCGCAAAGTAGGAATAGTAGTACAAGTAGTAAGTAGTAGTTTATTTGATCATTTATATATATATATATATATATATATATATATATATATATATATATAT